TCAGCAGTGCCATTGTGCTAAGTTGGGATCAGGGTCCGATTCTATTAAGCTCTTGTACAAAAGAGTTTTGTCAGTTTCCAGAAAGTTAATCTCATTCTATCATTTTGAATTGAGGCTACTTGAGTCAGAAGTTCCTGGGAAGTTTCTGAGAGTCCTTAGATTAAGATTTGTTGGCCAGCCATTGAGTTGAAAGTGGTGATGGCAGTCTGGGCTAAATTGTCCAGAGGCTCTGCAGACAAGTAGCTGAGATGTTAGCGGCCCCTCCCTCCACCTCTGCCTTCACAGAGTTTAAAGTGTGCTCTCTCCAACTGTCAGGACTGTTGCCCTCCTTTCACAGCCATGTGATTGATGTTATCAGTCCTTGCAGCAGTCACTTCACCCTTTTCCAGTCCTCTCCTTGTCTTACCTATACCTTGCTCCTAAATTGTGTATTAGTCCATTTTTGCATTGCTACAAAGGAATACCTGAGGGTGGATAATTTATAAAGAGGTTTAAATGGCTCACAGTTCTGCAGGCTGTACAGGAAACATGGCATCAGCATCTGCATCTGATGAAGGCCTCAGGAGGCTTACAATCATGGTGGAAGGCAAAGGGGGAACTGATGTATTACATCATGAGTGGGAGCAAAGCGGCAAGGATGTGCTACTCTTTTAAACAACCAGATCTCACATGAACTCAGAGCAAGAACTCACTCATCATCGTGAGGACAGCACCAAGGTATCCATGAGGGATCCGCCCTGATGACCCAAATGCTTCTCACTAGGCCCACCTTCAACACTGGAGATGACATTTCAACATGAGATTTGGAGGGGACACACATGCAAACCATATCAACTTGTCCCTGATGGCCCAGCAGTTCTTTCTTTGTATCCCTTGTACCTGTAACATCTCTAATCTCTGAAGCATGGAGCACCATCATCTCAGGATCATTATCGTCAATGTCTGTAACTATCCAAATCCAGCAAGCATACCCAGGTGGTAAAAGGAGTACCAGGTTAGAATCACTAACCCCTGGCTCCTTTTTGCTACCCCAAATCCCAGTGGCCCATGGTCCTAGAGGTAGGCAGGAAGGAACAAAGGTAGAGTGAGAAGGATTAATTATGCAGTGCTAATTACACTTGTTTCATTTGGTCTCTTACAGCCATCTAAGCTTCTTCCTCCTTCCCCACTTCATAATTAAACATTACATTTTGATAGGTATCCTTCTGTCACATTTATAGCCCAAACTGACTGTCATACGTGTGTGTTACACTGGAGGCTGAGCCTTGGCCATCCAACTGTCCTTTCAGTTTTTCCTTTGAGTCCATGCCATCTTTCAATAGTACCTGCTGCCTGGGCAGCACAGATCTGATGAGTGTGTGGATTCCAGTGACGTTCATCCCCAGGCTCCTGGGTCTTGTGCCATCTGCTGCTGTAACGTTTGTCTCACAGAGGCTGAAACATGATCATCCAGTCATCTTGCTGAAAACTTCCTAAGTCTAGTAAGAGATTTAGACAACCAGATACAGGAAACTCAGAGATCCCCAAATAGATACAATTCAAACTGTATAAGGAGTTGAGTCTTTTTTCCTTTTAAACAAAAGCAGACATTACAATAACCAATAGCTGTTGCAGACCAGGAGCTCATTTTATCTCCTTCGCAGGGAGCTTAGGGAGCACAGGTCAGAGTGGAAGAGGCCAGCCTGCAGGGTCAGCCGGAGCTGCAGGAAAGTTTCTTTTGTGTCTTTAAAAAAAAAAAGTTTTATTGAGACATAATTTACATACAACACAATTCGCCCATTTAAAGTGAACAATTTAATGGCTTTTAGTATAGTCATTGACCTGTACAACCATCGCTGCACTCAACTTAGAATATTTTCATCACCTCAAAAAGAAACCTCATCCCTCTTAGCCATCAACCCTCTATTCCTGCTCCTCCTACCCCTCATTCCTTTTTATGGCCAAATAAAATTCCATTAAAGAACAGACCACATTTTGTTTACCCATTCATTGGTTGATAGACATTTGGGTTGTCTAGTTTTTATTTAAATTTGTCTTCAGTTCTGTGGGATATACACCTAGAAATGCAATTGCTAGGTCTTATGGTAATTCTCTGTTTAACTTTTGGAGGAACCATCAGCCAATTTTCCAAATTGACTATACCATTTTATATTCCTACCTGTAGTGTACAAGAGTTCCAATTTCTCCACACCCTCACCAACACTTGTTATTCTCTTACATTTTTATTCTGGTTAGTATAAAGTTGTATCCCATGATTTTTATTTCCCTGGTGACTAGTAATGTCAAGCATCTTTTCATGTGCTGCTTCGCAATTTGTAGGTCTTCTTTGGAAAATTTCTATTTCGGTCCTTTGCCCATTTTTGAATTGTGCTGTTTGGTTTTTGTTGTTTTCAGTGTTCTTTATATATTTTGCATACTAGACTCTTATACATAGGATTTGCAAATATTTTCTGCCATTGTCCTGATGTCTTTGGATGCACAAAATTTTCTAACTTTCATAAATTCCAATTTGCCTATTTTTTATTTGTTGATTGCACTTTTGGTGTCATATCTAAGAATCCATTGCAAAAACCAAGATCATAAAGATTTACTACTGTTTTCTTATAAAGTTTTTATTGTTTAGGCTCTTGAATTTAAGTCTTCAATACATTTTGAGTTAATATTCATATATTGTGTGGGGTCTCGGTCCAACTTCATTATTTTGCAGGTGGATATCCACTTGTCCACTCACCAGTTGTTGAAGACTATTCTCTCCTATAGTCTTGTACCCTTGTTGAAAATCAGTTGACTGTAGACGTGTGGGCTTATTTCTGGACTCTCAATTCAATTCCATTTTTAGTGGAGGATTTGAAAATCAGCATCTTGGTGCTAGGTGTGCTCAAAGACACTGGATGTCACTTTTAGTTTGTCTTGGTGGACACAGCTGAGAAAGGTATGCACAAATACACATACACATACCTTTCTCAGCTCTGAGATATATATGTATAGGGTTTGTGTGCATATATATATACACACACACGTATATGTGTGTATATATATACACACACACACACATACACACACACATACACACATACTCTTTTTCCTTTGAAAAATAGTTCATATTAATGAACTCTTTTCCAATTTTAATCCAATACCATGAGATTCATTTTACCCTTCCTCTTTTCCATGCTTTTTTTTTTTTTTTTTTTTTTTTTGAGACAGTCTCGCTCTGTCGCCCAGGCTGGAGTGTAGTGGTGAGATCTTGGCTCACTGCGAGCTGCGCCTCCCGGGTTCATGCCATGCTCCTGCCTCAGCTTCCCAAGTAGCTGGGACTACATGCGCCCACCACCACGCCCAGCTAATTTTTTTTTTTTTTTGTATTTTTAGTAGAGACAGGGTTTCACTGTGTTAGCCAGGATGGTCTCGATCTCCCGACCTCGCGATCCACCCGTCTCGGCCTCCCAAAGTGCTGGGATTACAGGCATGATCCACTGCGCCTGGCCTTTCCATGTTTTCAAATAATTTCTCTGACACTGAGAAACCTAGCTCCCCTTTTCCTCAACAGATTTACTTCTTCGCTCAATTTAGTTATTTGCCTAATGTAGCACATTGCTGGCTGCCTCCTCACCCTGAGGGCACTGGCACAACATGGCTTCCACTGGATCTCTCCCCCTGCCCCTCCACCCGACCACGGAGCCACAAAGCTGGAAACTTTGATACCTCCACGCAGTAATCCCAGCCTGCTTCCTCAGCCATCAGGCACTGACACCTCCATGTACCTGCCCCTCCCCTGACATGCTTATCCTACAAATTACTCAGATTACTAGGTTAGAAAAAGAATTTCAAATTGCTATAACTCTATCAATATAAGTAGTTTAGAAGGTAATGGAGAGAGGTGTTAAGAATGTCTATTTGGTTTCCGGTTTGTGCAAATAGATGTTACATTCACTATTCACTGAGGTAAGAAATGTTGGAAGGGAATATAGTTTAGATTGAAAACTATGATTTCAGATTTAGATATATTAATTTTTATGTGCCATTAAGGCAGCCAAGTGGAGGCCAGGCACGTGCTCGTGCCTGTAATCCTAGCACTTTGGGAGGCCGAGGCAGGTGGATTGCTTGAGCCCAGTAGTTTGCCACCAGCCTGGGCAATGTGGTGGAACCCTGTCACTTCAAAAAAATACAAAAAAAAATGAGTGAGGCATGGTGGTGCATGCCTGTAGTCCCAGCTACTTGGGAGGCTGAGGTCAGGAGGTCGAGGCTGCAGTGAGCCATGATCATGCCACTGCACTCTAGCCTGGGCAACAGAGTGAGACCCTGCCTCAAAAAAAAAAAAATTTAGAAATTTAAAAACACAACCAAGTGAAATGTCCAGTAGAGAGGTGGAAATGTAGGTCTGGAGTTCAGATAGAGGCGTGGACAAATACAGATTTGTATGTCAACTGCATATAGGTAAGCAAAGATAGAGAAGTCTATGAATGAATTTGAGAAGGAACAGCTAGAGAAGAACAACAGGAAGACTAGCCAGAGAAGAAAATAAGAGAAGCCAAGGAAGTAGATTTCAGGGAGGAGTAACCAACTGTGTCAATACTGAGAGGTTCATTAAGGATGGGAGAAGCAACTATTGACTTTCACTGTGTAGGGATCATTGGTGACTTTGGCAGGAGTAGTTTCAGTGAAGTGCTGTGGGCAGAGGTCACAAGGCAATGAGCTGAAATTATAGGAGATAAGAAAACAGAGAGAACAAGTATATGCAGTTACCATGAGACCCTTGGATGTGATTGAATATAGAGAATCTAGTGTTCATAGGGGGATACAGGGTTGTGTAAAGGTAAGCCAGATTGGTGCAGCTGGGAAAATAATGATACATCTTGTTCACACCACTGTTTTTTGTGATGCTCAACACTTTTAAAGACTGGACACTGAGCTAAAAGAAACCTTGGTGGTCAACTACTCTAATCTCATTCTATTCCTAAAGAAAATGAAACCCAGAAAAGGAAAAGGACTTGTGCGAAAGGTTGGCCTGTAAAAATATTCCAATTGTTTTATTCCCCTCAAATTTTCTATCACCCTTTTCTTACTTCATAAAATAGGTACCATACGTCCCAGTTTCTTACTTAAAACTTACAACTTTTCATTTTGCAATAATTATATACTTATAGTTGCAAAAATAGTACAGAGTCCCACGTATCCGTTACCCAGTTTCCTCCAGTGGTACAGTTTTGTAACTATAGCACAACTTCATATCCAAGATATTGACAATGATATTATACTGCTATCTAGACTACAGACTTTATTCAGTATCACCAGATTTTACATGCATTCATTTGTGTGTATGTAGGTCCATACAACTTCAGCACAGGTATAGATTCATGTGCTTAACTTCATAATCAAATGCTATAATCATCATCACAATCATCATAATCACACAGAACTGTTCCATCAGCACAAAGGAACTCCTTGTGTCATCTCTTTACAGTCATACATATCCCACACCCCCTCCAATTCCTATCCCTGGCAACCATTAATCTGTTCTTCATTTCAATAATTTTGTCACCTCAAGAATATTATATAAATGCAATCATACAGTATGTGACCATTTGAGACTGGCTTTTTTGTTCACCATAATACCCCTGAGGTACAACCATGTTCTTGTATCAACAGTTAGTTCCTTTTCATTCCAGAGTAGTATTGCAAGTTATGGATGGTTTGTTTAACCATGTACCTGTTGTAGGACATCTGGGTTGTTTCCAGTTTGGGGTAATTACAAATAAAGCTCCTATGAATGTTTGGGTACAAGTACAATATAGATTTTCATTTCTCTGGAATGAATGTCCAGGAGCACAACTGCGGGGTCTTATGTTTAACTTGATTAAAAAATTATGTTTAACTTGATAAGAAATTTATAAACTCTTTTCCAGAGTGGCTGTACCATTTTACATTCCTGTTAGCAATGTATAAAATATTCAGTTTGTATCCTCATTGGTATTTGGTATTTTCACTATTGTTTCTTTAGCCATTCAGATAAGTAAGTCATAGCCTCACTGTGGTTTCAATTTGCATTCCCTCATGACTTATGGAGTTTAACAGCTTTTCATATGCTTACTTGCCATCTATAGATCCTCTTCAGTGAAACATCTATTCATGTCTTTTGCCCATTTTCTAATTGGACTGCTTGTTTTTATTGTTGAGCTTTTGTGGCTTTTTTTGAGACAAGGCCTCACTCTGTTAGACAGGTTGGAGTGTGGTGGTGTGATCATAGCTCAATGCAGCCTCAAACTCCTGGGCTCAAGTGATCCTCCTGTCTCCCTAGTAGCTGGGACTACTGGTGTGTGTCATGGTGCCCAGCTAATTTAAAAAAAAAAAATTTTTGTAGAGACAGAGTCTCACTGTCTTGCCCAGGCTGGTCTGGAACCCCTGACCTCAAGCACGCCTCCTAAAGTGGTGAGATTATAAGCATGGGCTACCATGCCTGACTACAGTTGAGTTTTTAGCACACTTTATATGTGCCAAATTGATCAGATATATGGTTTGCAAATTCATCTCAATCTGTAGCTTATCTTTTCCTCTTCTTAAATCACAAGTTTTTAAATTTTTAAGAAGTCCAATATATCAGTTTTTGTCTTTTATGGATGTGCTTTTGGGGCAAAGTCCAAGAACTTGTCACCTAGCCCAAGATCCTGAAGCTTTTTCTCCCGTGGCTTTTTTTCCAAGTTATATAGTTTTATGTATTACATTTAAGTCCATTATATATTTTGAGTTAAATTTTATATAAGATGTGAGGTTTAAGTAGAGGTTCTTTTTTCTCCTCGCTATGGGTGTCTAATTGCTCCAGCATAATTTGTCAGAAAGGCTATTCTTCCTCAATTGAATTGCTTTTGCACTTTTTCAAAATCAGTTGAGCATATTTATATGGGTTTATTTCTGGGTTCTCTCATCTGTTCCATTGATTTATGTGTCTGTTCCTCTGCCAATACCATCTATCTTGATTACTATAGCTTTTTAGTAAGTCTTGAAGTCAGGTAATGTGAGTCCTCCAAGTTTTTCTTCTTCAAAATTGATTTAGCTTAAGTAACTTTATACTGGATATTTTCATCTTTCCTATAGGGAAATAAAAAGAATAGAGAAGAACAGTGGCTGTGGGAAATTAGGGACAATATAGTATATACATTCCATATGCTCAAGGCTAGTGGTTTTCAAATGTGAGTATGCCCCAGAATCAGCTAAGGAGTTCATGCAGATTTCTGGGTTTTATCCCTAGAGATAGGGTTTGACCTTCAAGTGATTCTGATGCAGGTGCTTCTGGACAACACTTTGAAATTTGAAAAATAAGAAGGATAAACAAAAACCAAAATCAGCCTTTATCACTTAACTTCCAGTATCCAACAAGCATACTTTGTTTCCAGTATGCAACAAGCACACAGAAAAGTATGTCTTTTCTGAAGACACATTTATCATTTGTGCTTTTACATGATAAGAGTAATGCAACCAAACTTTTTAAAAGTATGATTTTTATTACATCCTAAATCCTAAATGTTTCTGGAGAAACACATTTATACTATAATGGAAATTCCTAGGCAGATAGAATCTGCTCAGTAGGAATTTACTTCAGAGTCAAATATGCTAGAACTCATGTTTGTTTAAAGAGTACCTTCAGAGATTCAATGTTTGATAGGTATCTCGGAACATATATTTTAGAAATTAAGAAGGAAGACACTGCCCTCTCAATGAGGGCATAGAGGTGGGGTGCTTCCTTCCACTGACACTAGATTTATTATTTGCTTGTCCAACATAAGCATCATACCTACAAAATTGAAACATAAAATATTCTAGCGAGTGAATGTATTTGAAAATGAAAATAAAGACTTCCAAGTTAAAAGAAAGGGAAATATGTTTAAAATATACTCCCCAGACATTTTATTCTAAGATATTCCTTGCCGATGTACCACCTATAGCCTTTTTAAAAATAACTTTCATATTCTACTTAAATTCTCTTGCATAAGCTCCTTATAGGTCAGTTATAGGTAGGAGGGTTCAGTGAACTCTAATTAAACTGTCAGGAAGACATCCTGTGCTGATTGCATGTGAAAACTTATCTACTGGGATATAAAAAGAACTACTCTATTGTCTGCCTGGATGTGAGCTGTGTGCATTTTCAGACTGTGTTTAGTACACAAATTGAAAAAGAAGTTTTTTACCCCATTTTGTCTCCTGATTTATTCTAGAGAAGAAAGTTCTTGCATAAGCTCTTCCTTTTCTTGTTGCAATTCCTGCAAATGCTGTTGGTTTTGCTCCAGTCTGTCCTCCAGCCACTGTAGGAGAGGCCCGCTGACTGCTGACATCTGACTGCACAGATTCTTGGTAAACACTTCAATAGGAAAAATAAAGATGAGAATAATTGTGGAAAAGCACCATCCACTAGCATGTCCCCACTCCATCACCAGCAGACCCCCAACCATGAGCACAGAAAGAAGGGGTTGGAGAAGGAAGTAGAAAAAGTGTAATAAGTAGGACTGGTAAACAATTTTTCTGGGCCCAGCCAGGGGAAAAACAGAAGAGCTGAGCATAGAAAATACCCATTCTGAGGCTATCTTGAATCCATAAGCCAGACGGAAGCCTGGCAGAAAGATGGCCAGCTCTTTACTCCCTTAGGCAAAAGGGCTAAGAGCCACGAAAGGGTTCCTTTCCCCAGCCTTTCAGACCTTCCCTTGCTATAAACCATCAAAACCTCCTAATGGGCCAGAAGTCTGCCTTCTGCAACTTACGTTTCCAGAGCGCCCTGTAGGCATATAAACTGTTATGTATATTGCAGAAATGTACATTAATTGAATACGCCTGAGAGCTCCTCTTTTAAAATGAAGAACAGAGGAATGAAGAGTAAGGGAGTTACCATCTTTTATGCTTTACTGTGAATGTTCAGCTTCATGGTAAGACAAAGATTCTAAGGTACTCTTTTAAAACAAATTCCATCTAATGTAAGTATCTTTTTCTCTCTCATAATATGTGACTGTCACTGAAATGACCACTGTCCAGTGTTTTGCTATTTTAAAGACTGCAGTTAAGTGAAATTGCTAGATCTAAGTACACGTACACTTTAAAACTAATTATCCAGTATTTTCCAGATTGTACCAAATTATATCTCCAGGAACAGTGAGACTGTTCACTTCCCTCACATCCTCACCTAATAGTCTCTCAATTTAATCTTTGAAAGGTGAAAAACTGATCATCTTAATCTGTACTTCTTTTAAAGATAATAATTAACATTTTTATTTTTGTAGGGGCCCATAAAAGTCTTTAATTTTTATTTAGTCAGTCTTTCCTTTTGTGAGTTCAGGTTTTCACATTATACTTAGGCCATCATCTTCCTAGAGTCTGAAAAAAATTCTTATATTTTCCTCCTATATTTCTTTAACTTATAAAATGAGCTTTTGTGGGTATAATTTACAGACAGTAAAATGAACCAATTTAAAGTATACAGTTCTATGAGTTTTGACAAATGTATACCCCATGCTATAATTTGGATATTTGGCCCCCCAAACCTCATGTTAAAATTTGACCCCCAATGTTGGAGGCGGGGCCTCATGTGAGGTGTTTGGGTCATGGGGGTGGGTCCTTCATTAATAGACTAATGCCCTCCCTCAGGGGTGAGTTCTTTCTCTGTTGGTTCCCACAAGAACTGGCTGTTAAAAAGAGCCTGGCCCTTCTCCCATTCTCTTGTTTCCTCTGTTGCCACATGGTATCTAAATACATAGGCTCCCCTTTGCCTTCTGTAACGAGTAGAAGCAGCCTGAAGCCCTCACCAAATGCAGGTGCCAGCACCATGCTTCTTGTTCAGTCTGCAAAACTGTAAAGCCAAATAAACCTCTTTTCTTTATAAATTACCCAGCCTCAGGTATTCCTTCATAACAACACAAAATGAACTAAGACATCCCATGTAACCAGTGCTAGTCAAGATATATACCATTTCCACCACCCTCAAACAATCCCCTCTGCAGTTCCCTTTGCATCCAATGCCCCTTCATCCCTGGGCCCAGGCAGCTACCACATCATGGATTAGTTTTGCTTATTCTTGAATTTGGAACCATAGAGTATGTAGCCTTTCGTGTAATGCTTCCTTCACCTGGCACAATGTTCTTGAGACTCATCCTGTTTGTTCATGTTTCAGTAGTTTGTTCTTTTTATTGTTGAGTTGTACTCCATTACACGGATATATCACAGTTTATCCATTCACCCACTGATGCACATTTGTGTTGTTTCTACCTTTTGGCTATTGTGAATAATGCTGCTGTAAACATTTGTGTACAGGTTTTTCTTTGAGCAGCTGTTTTCAATTCTTTGAGGTATATACCTAGGAAAGGAACTAGTATGACATATGGCAAATATAATTGCCAACCTCTTTTCTAAAGTGGTTGTACCACAATAGTAAAAGTTTAAATATATCTGGAATTTATTTTTTGTGTAGGGTATTAGGTAGGAATCCATTTTCCCCCAAATGGAAATAAAAGAATGTTAACTCCATGAAGGTTAAGACTGTCTCTTTTGTTCAGCACTGTACCTCAGTGCCTAGAATAGCACTCAAATGTTTCCTGAATGAACAAAGAAGTGAACTGTCCCAATCCTATTTAATAAATAATTCATGCTTTTTTCATTTATTTAAAGTAATATCTTTGTTAAATATAAATTCTTATATATACATAGGCCTATCTCTGGACTCTGTTCAGTTCCACTGATCTATTTGTTTATTTTGAGCTATTATTTATACTTTTTAAATTACTGTGGCTTTAGAATATGGTTATATATCATACATTACCAACTTTTAACTTTGTCATGCTTTATCCTGAGACCAAAATTATGGGACAGATAGACCAAGCCATTTCTCCTTTTCTTTGAAAAGTAACTGCCTATAACACTCAAAAGCCTCCCTTTCTTCCTCACTGGTGACTTTGCAAGTAACTGGGGAAGAGTGCACAGAATGACCCAGAAGTCAGGGTTACTCAGACAGAAAGTGAGGCTGGGGAAATGTGTATGTTAGGGACAAGTGAATTAGTATAAATATTGTATTCAGCTTTTTGTTCCTTTGCCTTGTATAAAAATTACTTTTATATTTATTGACATCAAAAGATTTTCTCCCTCATGCCTTCCCTTTTATCTGTCTATCTGTCTATCCATCCATCTCTTTCAATTCCCACCATGACAGGCCCTGGTAGTGTTATGCTGGAACCAATTCATGCCAGCTCACAAAAGCCAACTATTAAAATTCCAAGAAGTTTGTAAGCTAGTTGATGCCATGTTAGTTGCTTGAAACCAGCCATGCCAGGGGCATTACACCACAGAAACCGCCAAACACAACAAACCAGGAACAAACCTCCTGCTCCTTGAGAACTGGTTGTTAAACGTGTGCCAGTATATCACTGAGTAGGTCTATCATAAAGCTCTTTCCTGTCTTTCCTCCTGTCTTACTCTAAGCTGTATTTATAGTATTCATGGATCCCCAGAGTTCAAAAGAAATGTTGGGATCAGGATCAGGAAAACCCTTGGGAAAGGAAATCTGAGGACAACTTGTACCCATCACTTCACTCACTTAAACTAAATTTGCTTCTGTCAGCTGAGTATTTCAGGGAAATACTCAGAAAAAATGCTGAGTACTCAAGAAAAAATTCTTACCCGAGCCATTATGGATCTTGGTTACTGAGTCCAGATGTGTAAGGCTAAAAGAAAATAGAGTAGTTTAGTGGCAAAGCAGCACTGAAGGGAAAGCAAAATGGTCATGGACTATACCAACCATAAACTGCATCACACCGTTGCCAACTGTATTAGATGAATATGTAGTATTTAAATCCCCAATATTAACTTCCTGACGATTTGGGGGATGTGATTTTATTCAAAGATAATTCAAAGTGATAATTTTGAAATTGCTGTCTCTCACCAAAGCTCTGACTTAGTACAAATTTATTGGGCAAAACCTAGTGCTTGGCAACAGGATTAAGATGTTGTGGATTATCTTCTTTTCTTAACCAAAAAAGAAAGTATCCTTGCCCTTGAAACATCCAAAGTAAGCAGGAGAAAAACAAATGTTGAAAAATTATCATACAATGTGAGAAACATTATGATTGGAGACTGCTAGAAAGCTTTCCCAGAGAGGCAAAAGGAAAGGGGCCTCAAGAGTTGAGCTGCTAAAGACAAAAGGACAGAAGAAGAAAAGAGAGACTAGGTCCTGAGAAGTAGAGAAGAGGAGTGAAGAGGGTCTCTACCTGTGGATCCTCCTATACGCATCCTGCTCCTCCTGGCACAGGATCTTGGGCAGCTCTACTGCTGATTCAAGGCACACTTTCCCGATAGTGACATGAGGTACAATATGGATTGGGATTTCGATTCTCTCATACCTGTGAGGCAATCAGTTCAGGTCAGTTTTTAAACCCTGAGTTGTCATAATCAGAAGTTCTCTACAGTTTTAATTGAAAGTTTGGAATATGGCGTACTTCAAAGATTAAGCATTGTGTAATTCGTTTAGTGACGCAACTTCAAAGTGGATAGAGTTCAAACCGGGTTTGTCTGGAGAACAAACTAAAAGCCCGTTTGCAGAGCCAGTATTCCCTAGTCCCATAGAGAATGTAAGGCCACTTCTATAAATTTAAGAGAAGCCTCGAGAGCTCAAGGTCCTTAGGTCTGCTCCGCAGTCAGGGGAAATAGCTAATTAATACTGTTTTCAGTCAAGAAGTTGCCAGTGAGGTTGAACAAATTAATCACAAAAGTCTGGAGAAGAGGAACTACAGACTCTTCAATGGCTCCATCACATTCATTATGTAGGTGGGATTACTCACTTGTTCTAACTCAGTGTTTACCAGTGGCCCTCACTTCCCATTTTCTCCCCTGGGGGGAAATAGGTAAGAAATTCACAAATATTCACATGTTCATGCTAGAGTGGGAGAAACAGAAATGTTTGTTACTAAGGCCAACCAGTCTATCTCTACCCACTTATCACCCCAAATACACCTAAACTCTACCTACCAGCGGGTTCAGTGGAGAATTCAGGTTGAAGGCCCCTGGCACTGTGAGGCCGCACTGGCACATGGTGGTAAGGCAGCTTAAGATCTAGCTTCCCCATCCCAGCAGAACATGCCTAGTCCCCAGACCACAACCTAGATGGCACACAAATGATGGGGCATTACAAGCCCTCCCCTCCCCACACCCAAGTAGTCAGGGTATGCTTCCATCTAAAATCATATATTTTCAGTCTGAAGAACTTTTAATATTTCTTGTAGTGAATTCTCCAGATTCTGCCTGCTTTTTTCCATAAAAATGTCTGGTTTGTCTTAATATAAAATTCTGGGATAGCTTTTTTCTTCATGCACATTAAAGATGTCACCCCATCATCTTCCAGCCTCCCAGGGTTCTGACGAGAAGTCAGTCATCATTCTTATCGTTTTATTGCTCCACTATTTGTAATATATCTTTTATTCCTTTAGCTGCTATAATGTACCTATTTTAGTTTGCTTGTATTCATATTGCTTTTGATTGGCTGAGATTCATGAATCTATGGGTATGAATCAGTTTTTAGAGAATTCTTAGCCACTATCTCTTTAGGCATTCTTTGTCTACTTCTGGTGCTCCAATTACATGTAAATTAAAATGGTTCATACTGCCTCACAGTTCTGTCACACACCATTCTGCTATTTCATTCTCTTTTTTTTAACTCTTTGCTTCACTTAGGGTATATTTTATCAACATTTGTGCTCACTGATCCCTTCTGCTATACCTGAGTCTGCTGCTAGTCCCTACGATGATTTCTTAATTTTAGGTATTTTCCACTTTTACAATGTCCATTTGGGTTTTTTTTTCTTTTTAATTTAATTGTGCTTAAAAAATAAAATTTACTATCTTAACCATTTTAAGTATACAGTTCAGTAATGTAAATATATTAACATTGTTATGAAACAGATCTTCAAAACATTCTCATCTTGCAGAACTGAAACTCTATACCCATTAAACAACTTCCCCTTTCTCCCTTCTCCCAGCCCCTAGTGACCACCATTCTACTTCGTATATCTATGATCATTAGACACCTTATATAAATAGAAAAATGCTGCATTTGTTCTTTTGTGAATAACTTATTTCACTTAGCATAATATTCTCAGGGTTCCTTCATGCTGCAGGTTGTAACAGGTTTTCCTTTATTTTTAAGTTTGGATAGTATTCCATTATATGTTACATTGCATTTTGTTGGTCCATTCATCCATTAATGGACATGTGGGTTGCTTTTACCTCTAGACTATTATGAATAATGCTGTGAACATAGGTATGTAAATAGCTATTTGAGGTCTTGCTTTTAATTCTTTTGGATATACACCCAAGAAGTGAGACTGGTGGATCATATAGTAGATCTATTTTTTAGTTTTTAAAGAAACCACATGCTTATTGCACCACTTTACAATCTCAACAATAATGTACAAGGGTTCCAACTCCTCCATATTCCCAACACTTGTTATTTTCTGATTTTGTTAGATAGTTGCTGTCATAATGGGTGTGAGGTGATATCTCATTGTGGTTTTGATTTGCATTTCTCTGACAATTAGTGATATTGAGCACTCTTTCATATGCTTATTGGCCAAGAGAAATATCACTTTAAGTCCTTTGCCCATTTTAAAGTCAGGTTTTTTTTGTTGTTGAGTGTTGGAGTTTTCTATATATTCTAGATATTAACCACTTATTAAATATACGATTTGCAAATATTTTCTCCCATTCCATAGGTTGCCTTTTCACTCATTTCATTGTTTCTTTTTATGCACAGAAGTTTTAAAGTTTGATGTAGTCCATTTGTCTATTTTTGCTTTTGTTAGCTGTGCTTTTGGTGTCATATTCAAGAAATTATTGTCAAATCCAGTGTCATGAAGCTTTTTCCCTATGTTTTCTGCTAGTTTTGTAGTTTGGGGTCTTATGTTTTGGTCTTTAATTCATTTAAGTTTTATATATGGTGTAAGATAAGGGTCCAGCTTTTTTCTTTTGCATGTGAATATTCCATTTTTCCAATATCATTTATTAAAGAGACTGTCTTTTTCCAATTTAGTGGTGTTGGCATCCTTGTTGAAGTTTGCTTGACCATATATGCAAGGGTTTAAATCTGGGCTCACCATTCTGTTTCACTGATAGCACACTGTTTTGATTACTGTAGCTTTGTAGTTACTTTTGAAATCAGGCAGCGTGAATTGTCCAAATTTGTTCTTTTTTGAAATTGTTTTGGCTATTCAAGGTCCCCTGAGAGTCCATGTCAACTTTAGGATAGATTCTTCTGTTTTTAAAATGGCCAGCCTGGGTGACAGAGTGAGACTCCTTAAAAAAAAAAAAAAAAAAAAAAAAAAAAGCAAACCATTGGGATGTTTACAGTGATTGCATTAAATCTATAAATCACTTTGAGTAGTATGATATCTTAACAATATCATTATCCAATCCATGAACGTGAGATGTCTCTCCATTTATTTGTATCTGTAACTTCTTTCAGCAACATTTTGTAGTTTTGAATATATAAGTCTTTCACCTCCTTGGTTAAGTTTATGCCTAATTATTTTATTCTTTTTGACATTATTGTAAATGAGACTTTCTAAATTTCCTTTTCGGATTATTTGCTGTTAGTATATGCAAATAAAATAGATTTTGGTTTGTTGATTTTTGTATCCTGCGACTTTCTTTTTGCTTATTAGTTCTAACAGTTTTGTGAGTTTTTCACATATATTTCATGTGTGAACAGAGATAAACTTACATCTTCCTTTCCAATGTGGATGCCTTTTATTTCTTGTTCTTGCCTAATCGTTTTGGCTAGGAATTCCAGTCCTGTGTTGAATGCTTATTTTTAAATTGAAGTGTATGCCCTTTTATTTTTGAGTTGTAAGAATTATTTACCTATTCTGGATGCTATACCATTATCATATGTGTAGTCCTCCCTTATCCTTTGTTTTACTTTCTATGGTTTCAGTTATCTGTGGTCAACCACAGTCCAAAAATATTAGATGAAAAATTCTAGAAATAAACAATTCATAAGCTTTAAGTTACAGACCTTTCTGAGTAGCATGATGAAATCTTACGCCATCCTGCTCTAACCTGCCCAGGATATGAATCAGCCCTTTATCCATCTGATCCACCTTGTATATGCTACCTGCCCATTAGTCACTTGGTAACCATCTTGGTTTCAGATTGACTGTCATGGTATTGTAGTTCTTACGTTCAAATAACCCTTATTTTAATGGCCCCAGAACATATGAGTAGCAATGTTAGCAGTTCTGCTATGCCAAAGAGAAGCCCTAAAGTGCTTCCTTTAAGTGAAATGATGAAAGTATACAACTTAACTTAAAAAAAAAAAGCAAAAACATCATATGCTAATGCTGCTAAGACCTATAGTAAGAACAAATCTTCTATCTTTGAAATTGTGAACAATATATTGTTATAATTGTTCCATTTTATTATTGGTGTTGTTAATCTCATACTGTGCCTAATTATACTAAACTTTATCACAGCTGTGTATGTATAAGAAAACATGGGGTAATAGGGGTTGGTACTATCTGTGGTTTCAGGCCTCCACTGGGGTTCTTGGAACATATTCCCCAAAGATAAGGGGAGACTGCTTTTTGTAATTTGTCACTATTTTTCTGATTCTGTAGGTTGTTTTTTTCACCTTCTTGATAATGTGCTGTGATGCACTAAAGTTTTTAATTTTTATCAAATCCAATTTATCTGGTTTTTTCTTCCTTTCTCCCTTGTGCATTTGATGTCATATTTAAGAAACTAGTGCCAAATTGAAGGTCATGAAGATGTACCCCTACGTTTTCTTCTAAAGTTTTATTGTTTTAGCTCTTCTATTTAGATCTTTGATCCATTTTAATTTTTGTATATTGGGTGAGGATAGTGGTCCAGCTTTATTCTTTTTGCATGTGGTTATCTAGCTGTCCCAGCACCATTTGTTGAATTGCCTCTTCTTTCCCTGTTGAATTATCATGGCACAGTTGTTGAAGATCAACTGACGAGAAATGTACAGGTTGACTTATGGACTCACAGTTCTACTGCACTGATTTTTATATCTATCCTTTCTGAAACTCTGTCCCTTTTTTTCCAGTCTTTTCTATCTGTTATCCAGCTTGGATAATTCTGTTGATCTATCTTCAAGTTACTGACTCTTTCCTCTGGCATTTCCATTACATTCTCACTTTTAATCTAGAGTTTAAAAATTTTGGTTATTATATTTTTTCAGTTGTAAAATTTACATTTGCTTCTTTTTTTATCTTCTATTTCTTATCTGATGCTTTCTTTTTAAATATTTGTTGCAACATTTTTGTGACTGATAGCTTGAACATTTTCATAATGGCAGCTTTTAAAGTCTTGTCAGATATTTCCAGTA